TACTCTTAACTCTGGAGACCCATGTAGACTTTATTGGATCCTGGAACCCAATTACTTAGAAGGGAAACTAGCAAAGACAAAACTCTAGGCAACTATTTAAAAGTCTAGGATGAGGCCCACATAGGACCATACAGGTCCTAGGCTGAGGGAAGCAGCAATGAGAACAGTAGCATATGTTGGCAGTCACTGCAGAAACACAATGGCTTTGGGTGCCTGTAATCTTGAAAAACTACAGGCCCAAGGGAGCAGCTGTGTGTTTCGGGATGACCCCTAAACTTGGAATCCTTGTTTATGCCAAATCCCAAGTATGTCAACTTGGAATGCCTGTTTGCTCCTGTGACTCAGTCTGAGGTACCAGGGTGAAGGCCCCTTACACTTACTAGGTTTCTGAACCCTGTTTCATACATGCTCATGTATGAAATAACAGTATTATTGCTGATTGAACAAGAATGCAATGTAAACAACACAATTTTAATTCTAGAGTCAGAATCTTACAAGATATGAGAAGAGCTAATATAGTTTTGATACTTCCTGAATGAGAATGGGGTCTGCAAGCTACCTAAACCCTGCTCAGGCCTACTAAAAATCTCTGGAGGAAATACCGAACCAGGACTAGCTGGGGGCACTCATAACCCTTGATGAGCTCCTGACCTCTGTAATCGTGCACAAGGAGCAAAGGAACAATCCAGGCCTTGTCCATCCAGGGCGCCTTCCCACCAAGCCCTGCTTCATATTCCTGCCTGAGGTGGTAACACAACATCTTTTAAAGCTCAGGGTTCTCTGGGGCCTAGAAATCAGCACTGACCTACACAGGAAATTACATAGGGCAGCTTCTGTGCTGTCTGAAGTAGGTGTGCATTTTCTAAAACAGATTTATGTCCATCTTTGTGTGTGTGCGCACAGGCACCTGCAGAGGCCAGAAGAGGGTGTCGGATCCCTGGAGCAGGAGTTACAGGTGCTTGTAAGCTGCCTGGTGTGGGTGCTGGGAACTAATTTGGGTATTCAGCAAGAACAGCAAGCACTCTCAACTGGGGAGCGGTTTCTCCAGCCCATCTTTCCTTTTGAAAGGGGCCATCTGGGATTGAATGGTGTGGTTTTTGTTTTTCTAACACTGTTTTTGGTTGGCTGTGCAGCAGGTTTTGATCAGAGAAACTGCATAAAATCCACCACTGTAACAACTTACAAATATTTAATTCAGGGACATCTGTGACATTCAGTGTTCCCACTGTCCATGATTTTTTCAGCACAAACAACTCATTCCCCCAATTGCAGACCTGGTAACCACTCTTCCCCTCTTCCTTATTCTAAGTGTTTTGAAGAAGTTTTGTTCTTTTCTTGTCTGACATCTCACCAACTTGTCAAGTTTATCTCTGTATCATGTATCAAACTTCTTTTTCTGGCTGAACAAGCCGCTGTGTACATATGACATACTGCTTATCCACTCCCCTACTGTTCTGTGACTGTGGACTGTCAACAGGAATGTACAGATCCCTTGCTTTTCTATTATTTTGGGATGTGTGCCCAGAAGTAGAACTTCTGTGGTGGTGCTTTGATCAGAATGCCCTCCCAAAATGCATGTGTTCCATTTCTCATAGGAAAGGGCTCAGAAAACGAGCTAGTTACTTTGTACAGGTGCACTTCTCTACCAGGTTAGCACTGAGGCGACATCTGGGAAGTAGGGGCACCTGGCTCCCATCCTTCAGCTCATCAACCCTGACCTCCAGCTTCTGCCTCCAGACCTGACCTGTCCTTTACTAGCCACAAACAACTTTCTGACCATGCATGCATGTGTCCATGTGTGTACATGGTGTTGGGGACCATAGTGGGACTTGCACATACTGGGTAAGTACCCAAACACTGAGCTAGAGCACACCTCAGCCTCAGCCCCATCTCCTCTCTACTGTGGCCGCACCGTTTGGGACCTGCATAGCTTTTAGGTATCAAAGGCAAACAAAGCTGTAATGCCATGGTTATCAACTTTCTAAGTATAATTTCAATTGTTCTGTCCATGTATCATCCCTCTGAACTCTTCTATGTACTACAAATAAGACTCTATAATCCTGAGTCACAATAATAAGCTATATGCAAATTTAGGGCCAAATGCCTTCTGTTTTAGTTGTTCATAAAATATTTAATACCAATAGGTAAATCAGTGACTATAAGTAAAATACCAGATTATGAATGATATAAAAGATACAAGAATCTTTTTTTAAAAAAAATACCAGGTTGGCCAGAGGAAGTGCACGCCTTTAATCCCAGCATTCGGGAGGTCTACAAAGTTCGAGGCCAGCCTGGTCTACAAAGTGTCAGGACAGGCTCCAAAGCTACGGAGAAACTCTATCTCAAGAAACAAAACAAAAACCACCAGGTCAATGTATGTGCTGAAAACATGATTTTCTTTCCTCTTCTCTTATAGCAATTACAGTTTGTATTCTGGACTAGAGGTATTACTCGGTAGAATTCTTGCTTAGCACTGGAGAGGCCATGGCTTCAACTCTGAAACACAAACAACTTGTGGCCATACCACATTCCCTCTTCATACTAGAGGGGCTACAGCTGGGTCTCATGTGCAGCACCAATTCCAACTCTGAGACAAGCACTGCTTGAGCTCCAGGACACTGATTCCCATCTGGGCACAGTAGTTCTGATGGCTACCATTCATTTCCAATACTAGGTGAAGGGACAGTCACTTTTCATTGCTGTGACAGAATACCTGAGGAAAAGACTTCTTTGGGCTCATGGTTTCAGGTTTCCGTCCACAGATGCCCCATCGCTGTGGGCTTGTGATGAAGCAGAACACGGTGGTGGGAAGGGAAGGTGTGCCAGAGTAAAGCTGTTCACCTCATGGCAGCTGGAAGCAGAAGAGCCAGAGAGGAAGATCCAAAGACAAGACACCCTTCCAAAATACATTCCCCAGTGACATATCCCTCCCCCAACACTCTATTCAGCCATCAACATCCACTGATGAAGTTACCAGTGATCCACTTTTCAACACCATCACCAGGGTCAAGCCTTTTACACCAGCCATTTTAGATGTGCCAGGTCAAGCAAGACACATCTCCCCCACCAAACCTAACTCAGGCAGTCACCGCTGAAGGCAGAAGCACTTAGTGGCTCTCCTAGGAAACTTACACAAAGGAAACTATACTATAAAAATATTAAAAAGTATTAATTTTGACAATCTGGGATTAGTCACTAGTTTTGCTTAAAGAAATAAATGTGTGTCACATTTCTCAGAGCAAAGGAGAAAGAAACTGCACTGTGTATGACAAGAAAAGTAGGCTGTCAGTCTCCGATTTGATGGTTAGGGTCCAACAGTAATGCTCTTCTCCCTGATGTATTAACACGTAGTGTGCCTTACAATGATTATTCTTTACTAAAAACAAAACAAAAAATGAGCTGCACACAGTTTTAATCCCCGCCAATGCCGAGAACCCAAGGTCTTACTGATCAAAATCCAAGCCAGCCAGTGCTATAGAGCTGCACCACAAGACCTGGCTCCATAAACAAGCTATCAAAAGGATTTTAATTCTAGGAAAAAATTGTCTTCGATAAAAATTCCCTTGAGATACACTATAGTGCTTGGTATAAAAGCTAAATTCTGTTTGGGTGATGCCATCTTTAAAAATGTTTATTTTGATAAACGATATAAATAGCTTAACTGGACAAGTCGGACAGAACTCTTGTGTTTTGCACACTCCCCATGGAACACTGCTCAGTCCACAAGCTTCCACAATATCCACACCTTTTCTTTTGGGACAGGGTCTTGCTGTATAGGCCAGACATGCTGCTTACCTGCCTATGCACTGGCATGTTATGATCCTCCCACTATGGCCTCCCAAGTGCTGGTTTGGGATTACTTTTTTTTTTTTTTTAGATAATGCACGCAAATGGAGGCAGAGACAGGTGGACCTCTGTGAGTTCAAGGCCAGCCTGGTCTACAGAGTGAATTCCAGGACAGGCTCCAAAGCTATAGAGAAACCCTGTCTCAATACCCTCCCCACAGTTCCTGAAAGACACCAAAAGGGTCAAAGCAATCAACAGAAATTATCTACAATGTAAAGACAAGAGTCCATTTTTGTGTGCCAAATCTCAAGGGAACAAGAAATGTGGCTACATTTCTCATCTGTGGGAATCAAGAATATGAAGACTTAATAGCTAATAAACGTTAATGTGTCAACCTTACCTGCTGATAAATATACATAAAATATGCCTTCACTTGCTAAAATTAGCAAAAACAGGAGATAAACAAAATCCTTTACAATTCTGGGTCCCACTGAAGCCTCCCCAGAGAGCATCAATAAAAGTATCACGACTTTTCAAATATTAATGCCCAAAACATACTAAGAACATACAGACTAATATGTAAGTAGCAAAATAAAAAATCTTGACATATTAAACAGCAAAATTAGCTGAGATATAGTGAGTGGCCAAATTACTAAAAATGTTTTTACTAGGGATTCAGCCACTGAGTGCTTGCTTGTGGTAGTTTTGCTGGGGCACTAGGGTTAAGCCCAGTAACAACAACAACAAAAAGTCCAAGTTTTGTTTGGTTGATTATTTTCTATTTTTGAGTCAATATGTTGAGCAGGTTGACCTCAAAACCTTGCGTTCTGCCTTGGCCTCCAAGCCCTGAGATTACAAGCATGAACCATGGCCAGCCTTCCCAACACTATCAAAATGGTAAAGTCTAGGGTGATCTTGTTATGTGGTGAAGGTTACAGAAATAACCAATTAATATCTCAAAATATATGTGTACAAGAACATGCTCATGCATTTAACTAGTAAATGTCAGTCAGCTCTGATTTCATGGAGGAGAGTATGGATTTCTAATGGCCACACCTTTTTGAGATGTTAAAGTCTGGGCACAATACAGTGAAACTGCAAAATGACATTCCCTCAAACATACACTCAGTTGCTTTTCAGCCACTGAAATGCTTTGTGGCATTCAACTGGGGCGGGGGGGGGGGGGGGGGGCTGAGGTAAGGCGTAGAATTCAGGGCCACCCAGGATAGCAAGACCTTGTCTCAACACACACACAAGCTGAAATCTGGTTGTAATCTGTGGCTAAATTATTCCCTTTCACCCCAAATATAGCTACATAAGCACATGACAATCAACTCAATAGAAGGCTTACTTGTACTGAAAATGGCTAACAGAACCAAGCTCCATAATCCAGAATTGGAAATAGGATAAAAGGAAAATGCAAGTTAATTCTCAATGACTTTCTAAGCTTGGGGTACCACTAGGAAAATACAAAATTATCAATGACAGATTTCTGCTGTGTGCCTGAGTGTAACTAGGAACACAACACTAAAGGTAAAATCCAGTGTTCCACACTGGCTGAATACTTAGGTCGAGTACTAGTGTCTCATTTAACCCTTCACATACTCACCATAATTTAACTCCATTTAACACATTAGGAAACTAGGCCCAAGGTCAGACAGCTGGTTAAGTTGGACAGAGGTAAACTAGTGCATAGGAACTTGGCAGCCACGCTGCGGAGTCAAACTCCACCACTGGAACTACGATGATAAACTCAGTTTTCATAAAGGAAAAGAGTGATCAGCATTAATCAGGCATACCCTAAATGTCCTTATGGGAATCAAATGGGGGGAGAACCTAGTCCTTTCTGTGCTTCAGAATAAAACTAACATACTTCAAAACAGTGGCATATAATCTCCTAATCTTCTGCTCTAAATACAGGAAACCACTCTGGACTTTATCAAAGAGCTCTATTAGAGCCACGGGTTAGGGACGTAGCCCAGTGAGAGAGTGCTTGCTTAGCAAGTGCTGGCCCTGTAGTCAGTCCTCAGCTCCAGGAAAAAACAAAACAAAACAAACCAACCTAGAGCTAAAGTAAACACATTAAGATTTTTTTTAATTTGCCAGATAATCTTTTAATGAGAATTATAAAAGACCAAAAACATTTTTTGCAAACTGCCTTTTTTTAAAAACAAATGATTTCCTTTAGTTACAAATACTGTGTATGATGATGCACTTTTGCAAAACCAATAAATACAAGAACCAATTTAAACATGTGATTTGCCCAACACATTTGAAGAGAGGAAAGGCCTGATTTTTTAAAGGTATTTATATAACTCAGTTTACTCCCTAACCTGACCTTCCCAAGAGTCAGCCTGATGGTGGGACTCACACAGACAAGACCGTCTCATACCTGCTGCAGCTTGCACAGCGCTCTCATGTTACCTTTCCTTTCTGGAATTCCTATTTTCACAAAAGGGCTGAATTAAAAATAGTTCTAATAAACTGATTGAAGGAAAAGAAAGTATGTACTGAACACAAACTTTTGACATAAACAATTATGAATATCAAAAAGACACTAACTTAAAGGTACAAAAGTGAGAAAAACCTGAATTACAGAAAAGAAAGTCAAATTTATTTAATGAAAAACTAGAATAAAAATTAGCAAATACACACACAAAAAAAGAAAAGAAAACAAAACAAAACACACAGCAGCACTATGTATTACTCACAAGGGGAAAGCAGTGGTCCATGACCACGCAGATGGCTTGTCAGTTAAAGGAAAACCAACCACACTCGTGCACCCATGTGTGCACAGACACACATCCCCAAAAAATTGTTGTCAACAATACAATCAATCTACAACAAACACGAAGTTCAGAAATATTTTACAATGCTTCCTTTCTTTTTTCTTAATACAAAAGATGCCCATCTTGGGTATATATATATTTTTTCAGTGGTTTACTGTTGAATTATTTTTAAATATATTAGTGTTACTACATGCAACTGTTTCCTGTATTAACAGCCTTTCTTTTTATTTACCTTCATGTGTCTAGCTTCTACCTACCAGGAGAGTTTTAGGTTGGCAAGCAGATGGGTGCCTTATTCTCTGTGAAGTCAAATGCAAATTTTAAACACTGGCCAGAAATATTTGATTGCCGTTTCAACACATGGAAATAGTTACATTGATGCCTAAATTGCCATTTTCTGCAAAAAGCTGTGCAATGCTGGTGTCAAACACTAGGCAGTCACTATTCATAATGGCTGTTGCAATTCCCTCATGAATAGATCGAGGAGTCGCTTCCCAAGTCAATCGCCGCCTATGACCATTTAGCTCAAGTCGATAAGCAAAATTTTCAGCTTGCTTGCGTGTTCCTATCAGCTGTACAATTGCAAAGAACTGCTGGTGACCATCGTATTTTTCCTGTTTCTCCAAGACTAACATGAAGTGAAAGCCAAAACAAGACTGCATCATCACCCAGTCAACAGCACCAGGAAGGTTAATGTCTGTAGCAAGGAAAACTATATCTTCTCCTTGCAGGGTTGTAATGGACTTGTGCTGATGCATCAGGTGGGGCATGACAGCATCCAATGAGCCTTGCCACTTACAGGAAGCACCAGGGCAGGGGCAGGAGTAAGGCCTGAACTCACAGAGCTCCTCGTGCTCTGCCTTTTCTGTGTGCGGGAGAGTTATTTCACATCCAGAAGAGGCGTATTTACAAGGGAAAAGTACTGAATTGGCCACTTTCTCCATAGCCAAGTTGCGGATGGATCCCAGTGGACCCCGGCAGGTCGGACAACATGTGAGTTTAGGACGACAGTTGCTACAAACAAGATGGCCACTCTGACACTGAAGAATGGGTGGCAACACATAGTCAAAGCAGACAGGACACTCAAAAAGACTCGCCAAGTCATTGTTGGATGCAGTTGTGCCAGTCAGGGCAGGTACCCTCTGGGATGGTGGACACTTTGAGGTGCCAGTGGGTAATGCTGTAGCAGTCTGGCGGCTCATTTCTGAAATGAAAAACAAGAAAATAAAAGGAGGCAGGAGAAAAAGTTATAACTATAACACATTCATAAATAATGTATACATATCATACTTATAAAACATCCCACAAAATTTATGAGCAAAAGACTAAAGTTAAATAAATATGGTTTTAAAACGATATACAATAAAATAAAATTAATGTGGTGAAGATGAATTTTAATAAAGTTATAAGTAAACCAAATATTTCCAAAATGTTCTATAGCGTGTTTAAAATACCTTCTGTCTAAAAAAAAGTACTGAAAATCTTTGGGTTGGCTACATAAAATAAGAAACACAGCCGGGGGGCGGGGGGGGGGGCAGTGGTGGCACATGCCTTTAGAGGCAAGCGGATCTCTGAGTTCCTGGCCAGCCTGGTCTACAGAGTAAGTTCCAAGACAGCCAGGGCTACACAGGGAAAGCCTGCCTCCAAAAGAAGAAGAAGAAAAAAAGGTAAATATAGCAAGACAGCATGGTATATGCCTTTAAATCCAGCATTCAGGAGGTAGAGGAGGTAGAAGCAGGTGGATTTCTGAGTTTGAGGCCAGCCTGTTCTATAGTGGAAGTTCCAAGAGAGCTAGAGGCTACACAGAGAAATACCATTTTGAATAAAAAACAAAAACAAAGGACATAAATACAAGGCTGGAGAGATGGCCCAACAGTTAAGAACACTGGCTGCTCTTCCAGAGGACCAGGGTTTAAATCCTAATACCCAAATGGAGGTTCAAGAGAGGCCTCTAGGGCCCTGCATACATGTGGTATACAGACATACATGCAGGCAAAACACCCATACACATAAGATGAAAATAAATCTTTCGTAGAAGAAGCCTTAAATACAATATTAGGACCTACTTGGGCTGGCCTTTTTCTCCTCAGAGTCTCCACCTCTGTCTATTTCTTCAAGACTGAGTTAAGCCTCATGGCTTCAGAATCTACAGCTTGAGTCCTATATAGTTCATATGCCAAAGACTATGAGAGAGAGACCAACCCTCCCCAGCAGTGAGCAACATCTTCTGGAGAGGTATTTTCAGGGAAAGGAAGCACTATCATCCCACTATCTACCTGCAGCTATCTACTAGGTCTTCTTTCCAGCTAGGCATCATTTGTCTCCTGTCAATCAGTGCCCACCACCAGGCTGAAGAAACAGGGAGAACTGGAGAGCCATCCTTCAGTAAGCTGTTGCTCTGACATTTATGAAAGTCCTTATTCTACTTCCACAGAACAAATCTCACAGAATGTACAAAGGTGAGGGAAACTCAGGAAAAGTAAGAGGAAATGAGGGTAAAAGCACCACAGAAACAAACACTGGATGAGGATGAAGGGCAAGCAAAGAACTCCCTGCATCCATCGGTTCCTTTGGATGGCTGCAGCACACACCAACTATATACAGACTTCAGGGTCATCTGGAGAAAGGACCAGCAAGCGAGAGTCAAGCAGGATAAGCCCCTTTCCCCACAACTGTGCCACTGAGGGATATTTATCTCAGCTGACAAAAGATCAATGTCCTAACAGTGCACTCCCTGAGACTACACTAAATACTTAATATAGTAATTTCTCCAGTTATAATCATTCTGTTGCAAAGACCTTTAAGTTTCAAAATAACTGTGGTTACAAATGTAACCAAGCCAATACAAATGAATTATAGATTGAAGTAGACAGTAGACATTGTAAATAAGGGGCTAAGAGCAGCAATGGAGGGTTAATTTTTTTTCCTTTTGTTACTAAAATCGTACTCTCAAGTTCAAAGGGCAAAAGAAAGTACTAACAAATGTTTAGCTTACCCATGTCCCTCGGGTTTCATCTCCAACACACACGCACAGTATAACAAAACTCTATCACAACATCTCAGGCTCAAGGTATGGAAGGATATAACATGAATCAACTCTCATCATCTGAAGCCCTGTGATCCAGGTGTCACAATAAAAAGAACGTTCTGTAATCTACTTTCTATCTGAGCAAATTCTTTAATGCAGATGATTTATCCATTTTAGATCACTTATAAAACAATGGGCTTGGCATTACCAAAGCCTATTAGTTTCCCATCTACTCCACCATGTTAAGTGTGCTCACTTAAAGGAACACAGTAATTGGGAAGGGATTCCTTGAAACAAAACTGCTCCCATCACATAAAAAAGCTCAGTTTATTTAAATGCAATACAGTCAAGTTCAGAAGAAAACACTAGCCCAATGCAAAATACCTCTAACATTTATCAGCATTAAGTTCAGATTCATGTTACAACATGTTTTTATTACCTTCCAAACACTCAAGAAAGCACACTGATTTCTACTCAGCACGATAAACAAAGATTCCGACAAAGAAAACTGCCACACCATTCCCGAGTTAGAAGGGTGGAATGCGGCTCCATCTTGAGCCACAAAGATTCTCGACTATGCAGCAGCCCCAAGGTAGAAACCAAGAACAAGTCTGCAGAAGTCGTGACGCGCCTGAAGCTAGATTTAAACCAGAGTCGCTGCAGTTCTACTGAACCCTTACTGCGGACCTCACAGAGCCAAACACAGCCGCCGCGTGGCCTAAACCAGAAGTTATGGATTCGTGCAGTCCAGTTTCTGTCTTGGAAACAGATGCTTTTATGTCAGTACCTTTCCTCTTTCTGGTCCTGGTCCTAACCGTTGGCAAGCATGTGAACAGGACTCCCTTCCAGGAATGCAGAAAGGGTGCCGGCGGCTTCCAGGACATGAGAAGCCAGGCGTCAGGTTCCTGCAACCCACAAGGCCAGCCCTTGGCTCCTAAGTTTAGAAGACTGGTCACTTCCATTCAGATTTAAAGTAGCTCAATGGGTGGCCTGTCCCCAGGAGGGACAACACCTCCCTAGAACTCTAGCAGAAGTCCGCCTGAGGTTCTGGCATCCTGCTGCTTAGGCTCCAACACCTGGCAGGCCCCTGGGCAGGGCCTAGAGAAGGGACGGACTTTGTCCCAAGCCCCGCCCCACAGACCACCTGAGCAGCTTTGGCAGGCGCCACCTGCAACATGAAGCCTGTGCACTTGGCAGCACTAGAGTCCGGTAGAACATGTTTGTGGAGGTCAGGATCTCAGTGCTTTCTTAAGGCTCCAGAGTATGAATATACAGGGATGAAGGGAAGTGCACAGCCAGGCAAGTACTCCTAACGTCAACTTCGTCCTGTGAATTCTCAAGTTCGCATGCAGTGAAGAACTCACACAACACTTCCAGGCCTCAACTACTATTTTCCTCAATTCTAACTCGGCCACTTGTGTGCCAGCCTATTTCAAATGCCCTCTTCCAGTACAGTGAGAATCGTAAACACATTCAGGACACATAAAACGCTACTTCTACCTCCAAACTGAGATTATACTCTCATCCTACTCTGGAAAAGTTTTCTTAACTGGCCTCATTAAACTAGAGTAGCTTGCCTTGTTTTTAAACAAGCATTGCCCTTGCCCCATAAAGTCCTATGCACTTCAGACCTGGATGGTGTCAGCTGAAGCTTCAAAGGTTTATGCTGGTATTACATCATGCTTAGGACAACCTTCAAACATAACCAAAATCTGGCGATGAGCATTCCAGTACAATGACTTCTACCCACTTTCACCAACGTTGACTCCAACCACTTGCCCACCTTCATTATGTTCAGTAACTTTCACCTAATTTTAATACATCTTTAAGAACAGAATTTAAGAACAGAAACATCTTTAAGAAAAGAAATACAACGTACACTTTCCAAATTGTACATCAAGCCCATTTTGGTAGAAAGCTTAAGTAGCTATTATCTAAATGGGTAAAAAACATTATTGCCTTTAATTTTGCCTTAATATTTTCAGGGCACTTAGCCACTATTAGGTTTTTGTTATTGTTTTGGGGTTGTTTGTTGAGATCTGACACATTCATTAATCCTAGACTACCACTGAACTCTTAAGAGCCTGAAAATGATCTTGAACTTCTGATCATCCAACTCCCACCACCTTTGAGTGACTACTCGGACTGCTCACCACCACACTAGTTTATGTAGTACCATGCCTTTGGAAACACCAAGCAAGCACTCCAAAACCCGAGCTATGTCTCCAGCTCATATACATTTGTTAGTGTGTATCAGTGTTTTGCCTGAACGTGTATATATACACCACCAGCAGAGGCCAGTAGAGGCCATAGGATCCCTTGGAATTAGCATTTGGACAGTTGTGAGCCACCATGTAGGTGCTAGAAAACAATTCACTACAACAGCAGCAAGTGCTCCTATCTGTTGAGCCTTCTCTTCAAGCCCTGCATTCTTTACTTACAGTGGGGGAAAAAAAGGTAGAATGCAAAGACTGTTCACCCTTTCTTAATTTCCCTAAAATTTTTTTTAGAAATTACATTTACTATAAAGCAATAAGGATGAAGGTAGATCAGTGGTGTGAGATCTCAAACCCAGGACAAATGACTGAGGTGTCCATTTAATGTATCAAAGTAGACCTGGTTGCCAGGTTCTCCCTGCATCCCTCACTCCCTATCTGTTACAGGGTATGGCTGAGATACCCCGGTCCCCTTAAATTTCTCCAGCCCAGGAGCTGAGCTGCATTTCCCTATATAATCCAGCCATTCTGCTTACTCTGCCTCCCCCCCATCTACTCTTTACTTTCCTGGCTCTCCCCTTCTCATGTGGCCAGGCTCAGGGTCATGTTCACTCTGGACTCCCAGCTGTCCCTGCCTCTGGCTATGCTCTCCCTTTTATCTACAATAAATCTTCTCTGTCATACCCGGAAGCAGTCATGTCCTTCCTTTCTTATTTCTTTTCATCCATCTGGCACCAAAAGCTGGGACTGACATAACTGAACCCCAAATTCTAGGGTCTACCTTCTCACTACTTCTCCTCCCACCCCCACATTCCTCTCCTTGTCTATGCCATAACTCTATCCCCGACTCCTGGAGCCTTCTACATCCTCCCAAGGTACCCACTGGGTGCTCCCTTCATCTCTCAGCTCTGGCCTGAAACACCCATCTGGGTCTCCCTCCCCTGCCCTCTCATCTCTCTA